GCAAAATTTTTTTCCCCAGTCTGCCAGTAATGGAGGAATCACTATTGACCAATCAGAGAGTAGTGACGTCAATATAAACAAGCGCACGTGGAAGCAGCGTTGATGTCAACAAGCATTACGTTGCTGGCTAGCATCGTGCTGCTACATAAAATGATGTGCGAAATCCGTAGCTCGCTGATTTCCGTTTTTATTGTACGGTATTGTCACTTGTAATCATAAGTTCTTGCCTGCAATGGCCAGATGTCGAAACAGTGATATGTGATATGGCAGTGGATGTGTGTGCTTCTGACGAACTCGGTTCCGTTGTTTGACTCACGTTACTTTAATTTTTAGCTTGTTCGTTCTCCGTTTTTTCATTACCTTAATCAAAACGAAAAACGAATGGCTGAAAGGTACACGGACCCACGGACACAGTACAAACACAGAGAATAATACAGACCAAACGAAAGTACTCGCGCTTCCAAAGGACGTATAATAGTCCGAACCATGGAAGCAAAGCGAGATAGAAAAAGGGAGAAGAAACTCCAATAATTAGAAGATAGACAGTCATACAAAACCTGACTACAGATATCTTCGGCTACAGTGCTTAGCTACATACAGACACTCTAGCAAAGAGGCGTGGCGAACATCCGGCTTATATAGAGTCCAGGGAAGCGCCGCCCCAGTTCAATCGGCCAGCTGGGTAAAGAATCCGATTGAACAGGAATTCGATATCGTCCCGGGATGAGAGCCACAAAGAAAAGTCCAAAACACACGCACAAACATCCAGAACCATGACAGTATTAGCCCATATTGTTTAATACAGCGTGGAAAATAAGTATTAAACGCGTCAACATTTTTTCTAAGTAAATATATTTCCAATGGGGCTATTGACATGAAATTTTCACCAGATGTCTGTCACAACCCAAGTAATCCACACATACAAAGAAATCAAAACTAATATGTCCAAAAATTAAGTGTAATAAAGTGGAATGACACAGGGGAAAAAGTATTGAACACATTTACAGAAATTTATTTAATAGCTACTTTGTCGAAAAGCCTTTGTTGGTAATGACAGCTTCAAGACGCCTTCTGTATGGAGAAACTAGTCGCATGCATTGCTCAGGTATGATTTTGGCCCATTCTTCCACACAAAATGCCTTCAAATCTTGAAGGTTCCAGGGGCCTCTTCCATGAACTCTGATCTTCAGTTCTTTCCGTAAATTTTCAATTAGATTCAAGTCGGGTGATTGACTGGGCCATTCTAGCGGCATTCATTTCTTTCTCTGAAACCAACTGAGAGTTTCCTTGGCTGTGTGTTTGGGATCATTGTCTTGCTGAAATGCCCACCCTCGTTTTACCTTCAGCATCCTGGTAGATAGCAGCAGATTCTTATCAAGAATGCCTCAGTATATTTCTCCATTCATCCTTCCTTCAATTATATGAAGTCTGCCAGTACCATATGCTGAAAAACAGCCCCGCACCATGATGTTCAAACCTCCAAACTGCACTGTTGCGATGGGGTTTTGGGGGTGATGTGCAGTGCCGTTTGTCCTCCAAACACGGTGTATGCTATGACATCCAAAGAGTTCAATTTTGGTCTCATCTGACCAGACTATATTCTCCCAGTATTTCATAGGCTTGTCCAAATGTTGTGCAGCAAACTTTAAACGAGCTTCAACGTGCTTTTTCTTCAGCAAGGAGTCTTGTGCGGTGAGCGTGCATAGAGGTCATGACGGTTGAGTGCATTACTTACTGTTTTTTTTGGAAACAACTGTACCTGCTAATTCCAGGTCTTTCTGAAGCTCTCTGCGAGAGGTCCTTGGCTTTTGGACAACTCTTCTGATTATTCTTTTGATTCCGCTGTCAGAAATCTTGCAAGGAGCACCTGGTCGCGGCCGGTTTATGGTGAAATGATGTTCTTTCCACTTCCAGATTATGGCCCCAGCGGTGCTCACTGGAACATTCAAAAGTTTAGAAATACGTCTGTTACCAATGCCATCAGTATGGCCAAATCCCAATTCTCTTCCCTTAATCTTAACCCTTGGTTTCAAGTGCACTAAATAGTAAGATTTCCCTCAACGACGAAGGGGTAGTTTTGAGGGGAAGGGAATTTCACCTAAGAATTGGGACGCCACTTCATGCAAATTAGCGTAACACGTGTGTCCACGTACGTCACACGTATAGCCGACGTACGCTTCTTGCACTTATTTTCAGGCGTTCACATTCAATCATGTAATCTGTATCGGTTTTGTACACTGAACTATAGCCCACATTATACAGTTACTGACTCATTGCATAGCTTGCCAGAGCGATCATTGCAACTTTGAAAGTTGATATACGCAGCTACAACCGGGTTGCTGTCGTGGTATTTTCGCATTCACAATCGCAAACCAGGTCATATCACGACACAAATTTCCAAGATATTGGAATATAACACGTGTAAAACGCAGACATGCTCGTCACGCATGACGATAAAATTAGCCAAATGCATGCAGCATTACTGTTACACAGAGAACTTGGTGGACATCATGCTGGCTACAACGTGAATTAGCGATTTTCACACATTCATATTCTAAATCAACGCTTACAGATAAAGATGTATACCCACAAACATAACATATTCTGACATGTTTTGGATTTTTTGCATGCATGCTTACGGAAATAGTACTTACAGTTGTGCAATGCTTTTTCATGGCAGCTGCCATCTTCTTGGAAAACTCGTCCAGCTCGATAGTCTCGGAGTGCATCCTGCGAAATTCATTCTTCCCCTCAGTTCGTCATGAGCATCGCCCGGCCCTTACAATTAAGTGGGAATTTTAAGGGCTAAAAAGCACTTCCCTTAATCATCTTACAGTTTGGGACACCCTTGCCCTTCGCAGGAACGCGCAAATATTAAGGCTAGGGTCAATTTTGAGTGGAACTGTGGGTATTGGGACGGACCCTATGTTTTGAAACAATAAGGTTGCGAAGGTCTTGAGATGCCTATCATGAGATGCTTCTTGTGTGACACCTTGGTAATGAGAAACCTTTTTATAGGCCGTCAATTAGGACTAAACCAGCCAATATTAATTTGCACTGTAGGGGGCAGGATTGCTTTCTAAATCCTGACAGATTTCAGCTGGTTTCTTGGCTTTCCATGCCTTTTTGCACCTCCTTTTCTTCATGTGTTCAATACTTATAAAGCGTCATTCCGCTGTATTACACACAACTTAACTTATGTACTTATTTGTTCTGATTTCTTTATATGTGTGGATTACTTGGGTTGTTACCAACATCTGGTGAAAACAAGCATATAAGAGATGAAAGTTGCTCATTGTATCATACTTTCAGACTTGCAATGAAGCTTTACATCCTAATGTAGTTACAGATTATCTAATTGCAGTGTTTTGGTATGGCAATCCTGAGTCTTGATTACTTAATCTTTTATATGTTTCCACTTGAGGATGCAGTGGGATTGCTTATACAATTCCACATTAACAATTGATGAGTGATTTTTGCATGTAATGTCTTGTAAACTGATTGTACTTGCGCAGGGCATTACATTCCCCAGTCAATGCCTCTGGCCATTTCATAGACTCTGTAAAATGAGTCTAATTGTGCAGAACACGTAGTTTGAAAGGGATTCTTGGCATAAGGGCAGTATTGAACAGAAGGTTGCAGGAGGGGGCTGGTAGCTGGTTGTTGCTGTTGGGATTGTCTTCAGCTGAAGTCTTTGTCCTTCAAAATGCCAATTTTCTCCACTGTCAGTGAGACCCTGATGGTTTCCTGTCATTGGCTTTCAGGCTGCTTTGGGCCAATTGTCACTGCTCGCCACCCTATTTTCTCTGTGTCTTTACGTGGCCAATTAAACGTCAGTTTTGCCAAAGAGATAAGGAGCGAGACGAGGCAGCCATTCAGCCCACAGATAGAGGGGAAAGCCGCAGATAGAGTGGCCTTTATTTAGTATGCGGCAGACACGGCGGTTTAAAAGCTGTTAATGTCCACCTCGCCGATGATGGAGCACCAGTGTGCCATCTTCCCATCTGTGGGCCGCTGGTTATTTATTCCCCCCCATACCTCTGCCCTCAGTGAGAATGGGCTTCCTGCTACCTTTCTGAATTAGTAATAATTTGCTTGGGATGCGTCCTGCTTCAGCGTTGATTACAGGAGCTGAGGGGGGGCTGACTGAAAATGGGTGGGGCTGGTTTTCGATGAAAACTAACGCCTGAAAAGTGAGACCAATCTCCTCTAAAAATTGCATTTATTATTTCAAAAAAGTGATTTTCCACATTATTTTTCAAAAAATGGTATCTTATTTTATGGTATCTATCGCAAGTTTCAAGTCTCCTTCGATATATCGTGATGTTCATTTTTGTAAATTATGGTCCCAAACAGACTAGAATAAAGGATAAAGCCAGATATGCTTTAGGGGCGTGGCTATCCTCTGGTCCTTGTCAGATATGGTCAGATCCAACCGTAGATCCACCCCTCGCTCCTCCCTGGATCTTCAATTCTCTCGTCCAATAGGAATCACTTCCAGTTTCAAAATAACAATACGACGGTATTCAAATTGCCAAAATCGAGTCTTCCTAAATGGTATGCTGAAACCAACGGGTGACATCACCGTTGCTTCGTCCATCTGTTTTTTTTAATATAAATTTGGCATCTCCAATCCCACCCGAATTTGGAGTGCCCAATCCCAGAACTATGTACAAGGCTTGCTTGTATACAACCCCCTATTGCCATCTCAGGAGAGAGAGACAGTTCGCGGCTTTCCTGCGCAGCACGCGCCTGTCAGCCCCTGCATCTTTACACTCATTGGTTGAAACTATCGCAAGTTCAGAACGAGGGCGGAGGATACCCAAACATGAGCAAGCTTAGAATCTCACTGACGAGCCCCCGGCTGGCCAACAGGAGGCGCTTGAGCAACGAACAAGGCAATCATTTTAATTTCCCTTCCCAGCAGTCCCTTCCCAATTTGCATCCCACAGCGCTTTTAGCCAATCGTGTGCTGTTCTGAAAAAGCTGCCGACCACTGCTGGTTGGTACAACTGGGGATCGAACCCGCGCCGTAGTAGTCACTTCTGCATCGCAATTGCAGCGCCTTAACCGAGTGAGCTAACCCAGCAGCCCGCTTCGTCCATCTTTTTATATAGTTTATGGATGGGCTTCACCCAGAAGGTGGTGGTTGTTCTGCACAGTCCGTTTGAGATGGTGAACATAGCGAGTCGGTGGTTTGCTGCAGTGTTTGGCAGGGGTAACAGCCTGGCTTCCTGGCCAGTTCTTGGTGCAACTTTCTTATTTATCACAACCAGGCACAGCACAGACCGTTACTGCAAACAAGCCAGGTTTAGGTGTTACCGACGCTCAAAAAAAAAAAAAAAGTGCCCTCTTTTCCTCCTTTCCTTTCCCTCTCCTTCCAGGAAGTATTTGAGGAGGAGACTGCAATTATGAAAACAAAGCTACGGCTCTCATAGAGAAGCAAAAAAAAAAAACTTTATTTATTGTGGGCAACCATGACGAACACATTTCAGCAGTAAGCCATCATCAGCAGGAGACTGTTATTATCCAGGCAAGGAACAAGATGCAAAGACAGAGTACAATCCGATAGTAGGGTTTATTGATAGTAATACAGTAACGACAGTGGCACAGAACCCTGTGCAGAATGGCACAGCACAGTTCAGATGGTACAGGCTTGATTGTGGGGGCATGTCCTTGCCCAGCCAGTGACGTTCCAAGACATCTGCCAGATGGAGTACACACTCACCAGAGCAGTACTGTCAGATTGCAGGAGGGGAAAGTTTAGCAGGAACGCTGTCCCAATCCTGATAACCGAGGAAAGCTTGGGAGGTGTTTGTAATAAGATGGGCAAAGGAACAGACTGAAGAGTGATTAACAGGAATGCGGTCCTAATCCTGGAGATCGAGAGAAAGGCTTGGGTGCATGTTCCTATTAATAAGAGCAAGAATAGTACTTCCGTATTTAACTATCATTAAGGGTAACATTTCCTGAAGATGATAAAGTTTTATTAGGAAGATACTGACTGGTGACTAAAGGGCATATAGCAAGCGACAATTCACAGATTTTCAAACTCAGTAAGTATTTAAAGACCACACACACAAGGGAATGGGAAACACAAATGCATTACACCTGGCGGGGGAGGCACGTAGGACGTCATACCAATCAAAAGAGATACAGTACATCTAAAAGACTTGCAAGCTGCTGGATGGGGGGAGTCATGAAAGGGATTCATACAAATGTTGTAACAGGAGACAACTCATTGGGATGCACCCAGTACTCTGTCACTGATGGGCTTTGTAGTCCGCCATGCCTTCTTGTTTGAGGCCAAGTACTGATGCAAGGTGATGTAATTCCCTTTCCTGCTTTCCTCTTTCACGCATCATGAACTCTTTGGGAGAGTGATACAATCATTTTATGCACAGATTCTGTCTAATCTTTAATTGGTTACTTTGGGGTTATCTTGTGAGAAACAACCGACCAGACTATCAAAAGAAGCCTAAACAAGAAACCATTATTTTCTTAATTTGTTACATTTGCATGGCTCTGTATACTCAGTAAGACATAAATTAATAGCAGTATAATATTTCTTATTGAAAATAATTGAGAACCCATCTAATTTTGCATTCACCTTCATTTGTCTCAGGTTCTTCTCTAATCACCTCTTGTAAGCCATGGGTATGCAACCGGAATGTCAAGCGTTCCCTCAAGCTTTTCTGCTAACTGTCTCGCTATAATCTCTCCCAAGCAATGATCCACTGTATTTGCAGTAGATGGCATTTTTCTGAGATAAAATGATAAATCTGAGCTTCTTAAAGTTTCATCGAAAGCCATTGCAAAGCTGGACTGCAAAGTTAAAACTAGATTTAGACGGAATGTTAATTACATGTAACACCAAGCTAATAAGGTACTTTTGCAGTACACTCAAGCACGGAAGTGTTGGGACTGTACGATAACAAACGTTTACCTGAACGAGTGTTTCCCTCTTGTGAAGGACCTGGGAGAATAGGAGAGCTTACTTGAAAATATGTTGCTATCCCACCAGCAAATTTTGAGATTGGTCTTATTAGCTTGCATGTTCCTCAATATTTTTCTCTTAATCTGCAAAGAAAAAAAGCAATAGAGGTGAGAATTTGGGTAAATATGTGGGAGTAAAATAGTTTTTTGGATATGGTGACATATTGTTCTTTTGCAGTATAAATTGGGTTAGCTGTAGCTTTAAAAGGAGGGTTTGAGGAGGATGATGGAGAACAGCCTAAACGGTTTTTGGCTGTCGCCAAGTGTCAGACGGCGCGCATGCAGGAGCTGCCGCCGTTTGTTTGTTTGTTGCCCATCTGTTTGAGGCGCTAATCATGTGCTCCGCGCCATCCCCACGCCGTTTAGAATGAACATATTGCTCGCTTCCTTTCCGAAAATGCTTCTTAATGGTGTCCCACTTGTGGAGTTGACTGCTCTGTTACCATTTTGCGTGTAATTGAGCTCCCTGGCATCTCTCGATGTGGGGCCATGATTTCAGCCCAAGTAATGATGGTGGGAAGTGGCCTGGTGCAACTGGGATTGCTCTATAATACTGCCTCATCAGGACTGGCTGGATGAGTGTGAGAGAGATGAGTGGTAAAAAGGACTTTAGTATCTGGCCATTTCTTATACGCTCTTTGTGCCGGCAGCATCAGTGCACATTTTAATTTGAGTGTGATTGGAGAAAGCTGACACACGCTCTCTCGCCATTACTGCGGACACTTCAGCTCACAAGTGTACCGTGGCCTGCTATCAGCGAGGCTCAGCCTGATTGCTGGTCCGAATTCGAAAGGAGCTGAAATGGATCATATATAAAATGCACCTGGGGTCAGCAAGGGTATTCTGGAGTGCTGGTACATAAATTTCCTTGGTATCGTTACATGTATTGGAATTTGATTTTTGATACGTAGGTGCATTGTATGTAATGTTGTCCTGGTATGCAATTCTTTCAGATAAAGTAATAAATGCGATTGTTGCAGTGAATACATTTTATTGCTACTTGGTGAATTAATAAGAACATTTAGATTCTTAGGTGCCAATACAGTCCCAATTCTGAAAAAAGTTGGCACATCATGCAAAACACAAATAAAAACTAAACGACTTATTTAAAAGCCTGTTTACCCTCTATTATACTAAAGCAAAACAAGACATTATTTGGTGCCCTAAAATGTGACTTTAATTGCTTATTTAAAATATGCCACTAGATGGCTGCTACAGAGTCCTGAAAAGTTGGCTCAGTTGGCTGTTTACATCTGTTTGACTGTCTAAAATCTTTGGGCTAAATTTGTGAGATGTTCCTGACGGAGCTCCCCTGTGCTACCTCAATAACAGATCAGCTTACGATTCCTCTTAAAATCAATTAACACACATTTTTTTAATTTTAACTGTTCACTAACCATATTTTTGGTTGCAACAAAGATTTCAGAAAGTGTATGAGTAATATTGTTCTACCGGTGAGCCAATGATGACGGGAATGCCTTTTGACCAGCAGAAGGTTTAAAACCTAGATCATAAATTCAGTTCATATTTACGCACTCATGTAATTGGCCACTGTGAGGCTGCTCTAAGTCTGAGTTAAGCTTGATACATTCTCCACAAGAACAGAGAAATTTGTTCTTGTTCACGAGAACAAAGAACAAAGTTCGTTTTGACCGGGACATTTCATACTTCACAAGAAACTCAAGACTCCTGGGAAGTCCTCACAGGGCTGCGCCCACTCCATTTTTCTGACCAATCACAGGATAGTTCTCGGACACCTCAGGAGAAAAAAGTTCTGCCCAGATGATGTGTCGAGAATAAGCTGCAAGAACTCCGAAACCAGGGCTGCGAGAACAAAATGACGTCATTTTGTTCTTGCAGCCTCGAGAACAAGAACAAATTTCTCTGTTCTTGTGGAGTATGTATCAGCGTTTAAGTGTGGATGACAGGTTTTATCTCAGAACACAACTCAGTTGTCGCGGCATAATTTCTCATCTGTTTTTAATTTGCAGAAACACATTCCCACCAAGCACTGAGTTGTTCAGAAGTGATTGTAAATATATGCTTATACATGTTCTCTTTACTTTCAGTGTTTTTTTTTTTAATTTTATGAAAGTGACAACATCTTTCTGGTCGTTGGAAAGATGACTGGTTTTGGGCAAAATTTAAAGAAGAATTGACAGGCAACATGCTCGACTCAAATGACTGAAAACGACATCACGTAATTATGGTCCTGGTGGAAACGTAATTCTCATTCAGTGGTAAATTTATGATGAAAATGGGACAAACACTCCAAAGTAATATTGTCTGTCAATAGGGGCTCAATATGGATGTCATGAGCAGACCACAGAAAGGCCCAATCCCAACTCCCTTCACTCGGCGTAGTTGTAGCCCTTGGACGAAGTCAGGCGGCTACTATGGATTCACGTGTGTCGTCTTCGCTGCCGCCGCTGCGTACGTGTCCATAGACACTTTCTTGTGGACGCTCTACAGGCAGTAATTTTAGACCGATTTCATTCATATTTGGTATGTACATGTGTTGTATTTCCCTTATGACACTTATCGATTTCGGTTCCCATGGCGACAGTATCGGCTGAATAATATGCAAATTAGTGGCAAAACAGAGATATTTCCTTGTGGACGCAGTACAGGCTGTAATTTTTGACCGAATACTTTCATATTTGGTATGGACATGTGTTACTCTTCACTGATGACACTTATCGATTTCAGTTGCCATGGCGACAGTATTGGCTGAATAATATGCAAATTAGTGGCAAAACAGAGAGATTTCCTTGTGGACGCAGTACAGGCTGCAATTTGGACCAGTTACTTTCATATTTGGTATGGACGTGATATACTTCACTAATAAAACCTATCGATTTTGGTTGCCATGGTGACAGTATTGGCCGAATGCGCAAAAAAGGGGAGAAGCGGGCTTTCGGGGGCTACACCCATGCGGTCGCAGCCGACCGGACTGTCTAGTTACATAGTGCTCCCGACAAGGTTGTGGCCCTTTGGAATGTAGCAACAAGAGGTAGGGAAATGCAACATAACCTGTTACATTCATTTCATACACAGTCACAAATTAGGGTAGACCTATCGCCTTACATCAGA